AACTATTATAAGAGTAACTATAATATTGTTACCTTGTTAACTATTATTTATAAACTGATAACTATAAAAGCTTTAGATGTTAATTATAATATGAGTAACAAGCTTACGCTGAAATATGTTGATACGATCCCCTACTGCTTGTTTAAAGCAACGTTCTCAGGCAACTGCAACAATTGTCGTAATCTATCTAAGATGGCCTCTGTTACCTGCAATCAATTATGCAAATGTTACACTTTCAAATCACAATGACTCACTCAATATGTAACGTGCTTAAAGATTACGTTACTTTGTCATCGAGCCTTCCCCCGCGGAGCAAATAGAGTAGTTCCGTGAAAATAATTGTGTTGTTATTAGTAATGATGACATCGACGTGCCTTAAAAGCAATAAATTACGGAGGGTTAAAATCTAAATCATTAAAGTTAACATCTAAACGCGCAAACATAACAATCAACTAACAGAGGTTCACAACTTATTAGAGAGAGTTAACATTAAATTCCTAAACGTTAATATCTTAAAATGTAAAATCACACTACAACAGACATGTCTTTTAGCGACCAACTTTTTTGCGAGAAAATTATTTTCCTCAACAAATATCACTTTCGACGAGGAAAATATTGTTTCCTCGGTAAATATCAGTAGGTCTTCTACGAGGAATATATTTTCCTCACAGTAGACCACCTTCTACGATGAAAATTTTAGTTCCTCTCTAAAGATGATAATGATTTGGTCTCCTAACTAGTTATTTTATTGGCGAGGAAATATGAGATTTTGGTGATGAACTTTTTCATCGTGAAATGCACATTTAACGAGGAAATAATCATTTCATCGCTATTCATTTGGCGGAAAATAGAGGAAAACCCGCCAAATGTAACAGCGACAAAGTATGATTTCCTCGCTAAAGATGCATAATCTGCAAGGAACCGTTTTCTCATCAAAAGAATCAATTAGCGAAGAAATAATAGTTTCCTCATTATTAGTTTGACGGAAAAAAAAAACCTCGCCAATTTCAATGGTGACAATTTTAAGGCTTCCTCGCTAAAAGTTTTTGTTTTTACGAGGAACCGTTTCCTCGTTAAAAAGAACCTATTAGCGAGGAAATTATAGTTTCCTCACTATTAATTTGGCGGAAAAATTTGCAACTCCCGCCAAATTCATTGACGGCAAATTAAAGGTTTCCTCACTAAAATTTTTGTTTTACGAGGAACTGTTTCCTTGTTAAAAAAACCAATTAGCGAGGAAATAGTAGTTTCCTCATTATTAGTTTGGCGGAAAAATGTGCAAAACCCGCCAATTTTAATAGCAACGAATTTAAGGCTTCCTCCCTAAAAGTTTTTGCTTTACGAGGAACCGTTTTGTCGTAAAAAAGAACCTATTAGCGAGGAAATTATAGTTTTCTCATTATTAATTTGGCGGAAAAATGTGCAACACCCGCCGGATTCATTGACGCCAAATTGAAGGTTTCCTCACTATTTTTTTTGTTTTACGAGGAACCCTTTCCTCGTTAAAAGAATCAATTAGCGAGAAAGTAATAGTTTCCTCATTATTAGTTTGGCGAAAAAATGTGCAAAATCCGCCAAATTCAATGGCGACAAATTTAAGGCTTCCTCACTAAAATATTTTGTTTTGCGAGAAATCATTTCCTTGTTAAAAAACCAATCACCGAGGAAATAATAATATCCTCATTATTCGTTGGCGAAAATTTTGGTGGGAATTTGGGTTAAAAGTAGGCGGGTACTTAAAGAAAAGAGCGGGCCTCTAATATCAATGGCCTAACAAATGTCCATATACAAGTCAACAATCGTGGGCCAATTTAGATTTTTTTTGAATAAATGTCCAGCACGTGGTAAATCTCTAGTATGGATAGAAATAAGGATTTGGTTTGTCTGGTTGATGGTTCCTTTTTGTAGGTTTTTGCACAATTCACATGAAGATTAACAACCAATTAATATTTATTCAGGTTCAAAGGGATCCCAATGCTAAAGGATTGCTCACAAATCTGATAAGATTTAAACAATTTACGATTTTTAAATATACATTTATTTTAAACTTCTGAAATTAGATTATGTTAATAGATAATATTGACTTCTAAAAATAGATTAAACCAAATGTACAATGAAATCTCTTATTCCTATTTGGCATAATGTTTAAGGTATATGGTGACCATGCTTCAATATCAATGGAGAATCGTATGTGTGTGTGTATAAACTATTTGCGATTTTTTTGAATATACATTGATTTCAGACTTCTGAAAACAGATTTTGTTACACTAGTAGAAAAACAACCAAATTAGACGGAACAACCTAGACGGAAAAAATTTCCGTCTAGATTGAGGAAAACTACACGAAAATTTTTCGTCTAAATTGTTCCGTCTAGTTTGAGTCATTCTAGACAGAAATTTCTATCTAGAATACCAATCTAAACGGAATAAATTTTTTTAAAATAAAAAAACTCAACCTATACGGAAATTTCCGTCTAGATTGCAATCTAGACAAAAAATTTCGTCTACGTTGATCTTAAAAAAAATACAAAAACCCCAAAACCTAATCCCCAGCCGCCACCGACCCACCCCGCCGACCCCTCGACGGAATCGCCTCGAGAAAGCCCTCGTTCTTCCTTTGCTCGCCCTTTCTGCTCCTCTTTCTCCTTCGGCAAGCCCCTCAATTTCTCCGTTTCCAATCTCTCTATCGCCGCCACCGCCGCCGCTTCAAAACCCTTGACCGTCGTCGCCTCCTCCAAGAAGGCCGTTGCCGTACTCAAGGGGAACTCCGAGGTCGAGGGCGTCGTCACTCTCCTTCAAGAAGACGATGGTTATTTGCTCCCCTTGCCTTTTGATTTTCGCTGCTCAAAGTTTGGATTTTGATCAATGATTTATCGCATTTCACGGATTGAACTAGTACCACATAGTATTAACGAGCGATCAAAAGTTTTTTTTTCTTATTGCTGCTTATGGAATCATTATCTCGAAATGCAATTTTTTGCATTTTTTTCAAGTTAAATTAGCCAATTAGGGAAAAAGAATCTATTCTAGAGAAGGAAGTTACATAACATCAACACGCTGATAGATGTGCCGCACTACAGATAATTTCACAAATAGTTGAATTACAGTGTTGAGCATATCTTTATTGTTTGTTTGAAGAAATGTTAAGTTTGATGCATATGTGGCACGATGAAAATATAGTAACTGCAGGACATGGATATGAGGAATATGCAGAAAGTGTAATGTTGAAATCATGTGCTGTCCAGATGGTATTTCATGTTAACAGTGGCCAACATATGTAGGAAGATTTATGTTGTAATTTTTTATGACGGGTATTACGCTATCTTGATTTATGTTTTAATCTTGCTGATTTTCTTTTGTTCCTATTCACAATTCTTCATGTGTATTTAGATTTCATTGGCTGGCCCTAATGCAGTCATTGGAAGAGCATTTGTAGTTCATGAGCTGGAGGATGACCTGGGTAAAGGTGAGCTTTGTGTTCCTAAGTTTTTATTTTCTGAAGATCAAAAGATTGCTGCATTAAAGAGAGCAGAGGAACCTCAAAGAGATTTAACATCCCACTATCCTTCATTCATTAAGCCTATGGTTCGATCACATGTATCTGGTGGTTTTTGGCTTGTAAGTTAAAAATCACTCCTACCACTAAATTGAGTCTCGAGCTATCAAGTGAAATCAATGTCACTTGTTCCTGAAGTGTTTGTATTTTATTATCATTAAGGGACTTCCGACAAAGTTTTGCAAAGAAAACTTTTCTCCTAATGAGCTGAGAGTGATTCTAGAAGATGAGAAGGGTAAGGAACATGATGTCCTGTACCTTGGGAGGAAGAATGGTCTTAGTGGTGGACGGAGAGGCTTTGCAATAGATCATAATTTAGAAGATGGGGATGTCTTAGTATTTGAACTAAGCGAGCCGACAAGATTTAAGGTAATATTGAATTTCACTTTTTTTAAGTGCCTAGTGCCTACTATGGTAAACCTTACTCTCCATGATGTGCAACCTTCCGTTATGATTTTAGTCGTTTGCATCAAATAGTTATTTTTCGTAGTGCAGATTCTTTTGTTCACGGGTTACTTGATTTTGTTTTGACTTTTTGTTCCTGTAGATTAATTGTATTGATAGTCTATAGTTATGTATTTTGGTTCTAAAACTATCCATAAGTACTATGAAACGACAATGTATTGAAATATTGAAATTTAGGGAGATAAATCTAGTCCAGTAATGACAATTAGCAGAATTCATGGGCTTCCATACATATAACTGATGTACATGGTGATCATAAGTTCATAACAATTATCATATGTGATGTTTCAATCCCAGGTCGTGTGTTTTCCTCAAATAGTTGTATATGTTTTAATCACTTTGCATGGAGCTCAACATGTTGTCTTTATTCTACTAAAATAAACTTATTTTGACCACCTTATGGATGTTCATAGTAAGGATCTCTTTTTCCCCTCGATGAGATGGCTGGTGGATCTCCAAAATCAATTTGATCATGTAGTAATATTATAGTGATCATCCATCATAATGACCTTCACAAATCTCAGGACATCTTCAATACCCTTTATCCGAGCTTTTGCTTTCTCATAACAAACATCTTTTGAACTCTGAATGTTGCTTGATTCATAGAAGGATTACCTGAGTCATAGATAAACCCGAGTTCAAATGTATCAAACGTTAGCTCACCGTTTGCAACGGACACACAAGACATTAGTAACTTCCCCGGTCGAACTTCAGTCAGTCGTTTGTGTAAGTAGTTGTATGTCATTAATGATGTTCCATACCCTAACATATTCCTTTCTTACATCACGTCAGGTACGCATTATAAAGGCGATTGAGGGAGAATCACCTGAAACGGACAAACTTGCAGATTGTGCCGCTGCACTTTCCAAGTCTAAAGGATCGAGTGGAACGAAGGAGGAAATTCAGGCAGTTTCGAAGAAACGATCCCTCAAAACTGGCTCCGCGAAGGAAGCGCTAAAGGCAACAAAACGCGGACGTAGATAGAGTAGTACCTCAGCGTGTTTGCTTATGGTCTGGCCGTTTTTTGTTATTATCTTTTTTGTGGTCTGATCAGTTCTAGTATTGAAAACTGGTAAGCATCCATGCAGCAGGAAGTGCTTATATAGTGAAAAGGATGTTGACAGGTAACATTGTTTCTGCTGGCACTTGCTATTTAATGCTGCTTCATTTTGAAGTTATTTTCAATCAATTAGTTTGAAATGAATGAAACTGATGATTTTTGGGTAATGTTAAAGATTCTGTGTTTTGTACTACTGGCAGATTATTTGATGGATTTATTTGATGATTGAGCAAATTGCGGGTAATAACCCCTCCCATCTATACTTTTAGTAGCACTTATTAAGTCTCAAATTATTTAAAAGCACTAACACTTCTTGATTTACGAGGTACAAAGTGGGTATCTGTGATTTACACTGATCAGCCAGTGGTAAACACCATAGCTGAAGAGCAAGATGATAATGTGATGTCAGATATTAACCAGGAGCCTCCTTCAGGTATACAAAACATTATATACATATATTTTGAGAATTAAACATACGTATGTGTTATGTTCTTAATAAAAATTATGTCAAAGGTACAACCAAAAAGGTGCGAGGGAAGACAAGAGGAGTGAATGCAGATAAGGTGTTCTCCCAATTGAATTCTAAAATACCTGTGACTTTGACTGAAGAAAATGGCAGACCTACGGGCCCTTATGCTGAGATGTTTGCAAATGAAATTGGTTACACAATTCGAAACTACGCCCCACTGAATGTGGAAAAATGGAAGAAGATTGAAAAAGCAGATGTGGAGAACTTGATCAAAAGAACCCAAGTTAGTGATTTGTTTTGCTATAGGCATTATATTGGTTGCTTTGATTTGTTATATTTAGTTTGACATGAAATTATACCTGTGCAGAATAAGTTTGAATTTGACATGTCGCTCCCTTGGGTCCAGAGATATGTAATCATAACATGAAGCTGTCAAGACTCAGGAAGAATGGGAGTTTCTTTGCACTCATTTTTCTAGTGAAAAGTTTAAGGTATAATATCTTTTTTTATTTTTCTCCACGCATTACATTTTTTCTTTTTTCATTTACTTCTTTCTAATTGTATGTCTTAATAATTTTAGATTCGCTCAGAGAAGAATGTTCTTAATAGGTCAAAGTTGACATATCACCACAAAGCTGGGTCAAAATCATTTATGTCACACCAAGAGCAAATTGTAAGACACTTTTTAGTTTTGCTTATAAATTTGTAACTTAATTGTGTACATATATATATGCTGAAAAAGAAAATTTGTTTGAATGCAATAGGCAGCACATACTGGAGAGATGCAAGGTTCAATTGATCGTTTTGAAACAGAGTATAGAAGCACAAAAAAATGATGGGACTTGGGAGCAAAGAAAAATGGGTAAGTAACATGTCAATGATACATGGTTTTATAATATTTTAAGAATATAGGTGAACCTGATATTACTGTTCTAAAGAGGATTATATTGATTAGGTTGTAATTGAGAAGTTGCATATGATTGAACTGGATATATTTTTTTATTTATAGGATCAAATGATAAAGATGCGAGCAGATACCGCTCAACCTGATGGAACTCGAACAATGACAGAGGAGGAAATTTGTGCAAAAGTTTCCAGTCAAATCAGGCTACATTAAGGGCTGTGGTTTTGGTCCTAGACCATCACCATTAAGGTTCTCTTGTTCTTCGATGAATGAAATGTCTAAAAGAATAAAGAGTTGTAAGAACAGCTTCAAGAGACCTAACAACTTGTAGGAACTCAACAACAAAAGATCGATGCGTGAAATGAGGCAATCCAAAGATTGGAGGAGCAAGCCAAAAAGTTTGAGGAGTTTATGACTAATTTTTTCAGGCAACATCCATCAGCTTAGTATTCTTAGTGAACTTAAACTTGGAGAAATATTTCTTTGATCCTGTTGCATTTGTTATTTTTTTAGGCTAGCATTGTTACTTATGGTAGAAACTTGCTTGTTTTATTTATTTTAATTGTTTTGATGTACTGTGGTGACAATTAATGACAATTATTTATATTTTGAGCGTTTTTCTCGTAATAGCATTATTATTGATGAAATAAAATTTTCTCATTATAAGTTTTCTCGCTATATATTTAGGTCGATGAAAGTAAAATTTCCTCATTATAGAGTATATTGCTTACGTCGACAAAAACATATTTCCTCGCTATAGTGAAACAACCTAGAACGGCAAAAGTAATTTTCCTCGTTATAGATCATATAACCTATATCGACAAATGTAAATTTCCTCGTAATTGAACTTTTTTGGCGAGGAATATGAGGTACAACCTACAACGACAAATTTAAATGTCCTCGTCTTTGAGTCCCTTTACTGAGGAACTGTTTCCACGAGAAAAAGATACATATAATGAAGAAAATCAATTTCCTCGTTAAAGATTTACGTTTGGTGAGGAACAGTTTCCTCGTTGAAAGATACTTACAACGACGAAAATAGTTTTTTTAGAACTTTTATTATATATAAATTAAATGTTATTCATGTATCATTGGCGAGGAATCTGTAGTTTAGCGATGAAAAAGGTATGAGATTAGGAGAGGAAAAATATCGAGGCTAAAGAGTAACAACGAGAAAAGAATGTATTCATCGCAAAAATAATTTCGCGAGAAATTATAATATTCCTCGCAGAAACTTTTCTTGACCACCCTATTGCGAGGAAATGGTGACCAAAGTTTTTTCCTCGCCAACACACTACGACGTGGAAATCTCGACTTTCAACGACAAAATTGTTCCTCGCGGATTAGCTTTTCTGTTGTAGTGTCAGCACTTACGGGCTACATTTCTGCTTGCAGTAATGCGCGAGCCATTTGTTCTCCTCAGCTGAGAGTTTAGCTGCCATATTGTTTGGTATTCTGTAGTTATGTACACAAGCCTCATCGCTATCCAACACTCGTAAGCTAAACATACCTACATCAGGAATACCCTCATTCGCCTCTTTTAAGGCAACACGATCAACATCTGTCAAATACGTGCTTTTTAGCACTCCCACTTGGCAACGCTATCATCATAGTAAACTGTTATTTTTTCTACATTGTCACTGACAACAATTGGTTCTTCTTTGTGCTCCCCTTCTTTACGCTCCCCTCCCTTAGCCTTCGGTTTCTTTTCCTCACTGAACGGTATCCTAACCAGTTGACTTTTCTTGGTTGCTCTTGTGCTTGGAGCTCTACTCTTTATAACCCACATAGTTTTTGCTCACCGGCTTTCTCGACCTCTTCATTCTTTTGCTGAGTGGAACATTCTCAACCCTACCTTCCTCCTCTTGCACAGACGTATGCACATCAAAAAATGCCAGTCCTTTTGTCTCCTCCGCCACATCAGATCTCTCCTCAACCAACTGCTTGTCCTCCTCATCCTCGATCACTTCGTCTCTCTCTTCGTTCTTGTCCTCTTCATTCTTGGTCACTTCCTCAACCTCTTCATTCTTGGTCACTTCGTCTCTCTTCATTCTTGTCCTCTTCGTCCTCAAATACGAGCTCATTATCAAGGTTTTCTCCATCGACATCATACTTGTCCTCTTCTTCCACGGTTGGCTTTCCTTTCATCTGCTGTGCAATAAGCTTCTTCACATTATCCTTTAAAACCAATGGATCTACTATGCCACTAAATCCCTCCAACCCCCTAACCTTTTCGTTAAGTCTACGAATCTCGTTCATGAAGGTTTGACAATACATTTTCTTGGAGACCTTCAATGCACGGCATATTCTCTGGTTTACTTTAGCAGGATTTCTCCAAAATTTTAGCTGCTCCTCAACTGATAACGCCTTAATCTCATCTTCCTTTTGGAAAGCATCATCAATGGCTTTTGACAAAATCTATAATTTAGAAATAAGAAACAATTAACATGTTGCTTATAAATGTTAACAATTAAAAGCCTACAGTTAACACATACAAATTAAAGGTTAATAGTTCATCTAATATACTTAATGTACACTGATTTAGCATCTTAGAACTTACCAAACCTGTTGACCATCTCTTCTCATTTTCCTTCTCTTCTTCCTTCTTTTCACTCTTCTTTTCTTCTTCAATCTTCATCCTCCTATATGCTGCTTTCTTCTCCTTCATAAATTTTCTCGGCGAAGGTCGTATCCGTTTCTTTCCTACGACTGGAAATTGTGGTTGAATCCCTTCACTTCTAATCCTCGTATGATCATCTTCCCTCATCAATGGTCTTCTGAGTGGATATTTCTCTACCTATGGGCCAAATTCAGCTATTGGTTTATGTACAACATGGATGTTAGTTTTTTCAGCCCTGGCAACTATTGTCCCCTTTCGGAAAGAGCTAGACTTCTCACCAATCATCACCCAGTTAATGAGGGGTGGCTTGAATCTATTGCTCAGGGCATATCTTTTAATCCCTGTCATTTCATCATAGTGCCAAAGCTGCAAACAAATAATACATGTTAATCAGTTAGTATACACTACTAATATTTTAAACATGAATATAGTTAACAAAACTGAACTGAAATATAGTTAACACTGACAATACAAACTTTAACACTGGCCACAATATAATTAACATGAACCTGAATATAGTTAACACCAGCACCTTAAAATAGTTAACATAAACCAGTTAACCTTAATGATTTTTTAACTTAAGTTGACAGAATACAGACAAGCGTTCACATGCACAGGTTAACCACAATAATATAAAATATTTAATACAACTTACAGGGATCAAAGGCATACATCCAGGTACATAGCTAACTCCTGACCTCTTCAGACCTTCCCTGACAATCTTAATTCATTTCTTCGTCTGATCATAGATGTATTCCCCCAGGCCACATTCCTCACTCTTTCAATTGAATCAACATATTTGAACAAGAGCCTTGGGATGCCTTAGACACTGCTAGGGTACCACATCATCGACACATCATAATGTTTGATTTCTCTTCTTTTGCAGCAAGATTCTCGAAGTAGAACTAACACGAAATCAGCTAGAGCTAACACAAAAACCAATAGAACTAATAAGAACTGCAATAGAACTAACATAGCCACTAGAACCAGCACTTATATTAGAACTAACTCTAGTTGAAAGTAGAACTAACACGGAATCAGCTAAAGCTAACACAAGAACCACTGTAATTAATATGAGCTGCAATAGAACTAACATAGCCATTAGAACCAACACTTCTACTAGAACTAACTCTAGCTGGAAGTAGAACTAACAAGAAATGAGGTAGAACTAACTTGATCTCAACTAGAGCTAACACTTACTCCATTAGAACTAACGCAAAGTTAGACCTATCAAGAAATGAGATAGAACTAACAGAATCTCGACTAGATCTAACAAGTAGTCCACTAGAACTAAACGCTCGACTAGATCTAACAAGAAATGAGATAGAACTAACATGATTTCGATTAGATCTAACATGTAGTCCACTAGAAATAACGTTCAACTAGAGCTGCACAGAAATGCGATAGAACTAACAAGATATCAATTAGCGCTAACACTTACTACATTAGAACTAACACGAAGTTAGAGCTAATAAGAACTGTAAAATATACATTTCCAATTAAATATACATACATTATTGTATTTGTATAAACATGTCATTCATCACTATACGATGATCCGTCTTTATGCCCTTGGTCACAACCAGCAATTAATAATTGTGCGGCAAGTCTTGCTCATATAGCTTCAAGGATATCGTCCGGAGGCGTCACGCGCAATGTCGAGCGACTTTTAATTATTGCTTGCATAAAGAGGTAGACGAACACACCATAGTCATAGCTGCAACATAGAATGTGTATGTTAGTTTTTTCCACAATATCTCTAGATAAACAATTAAAATATTAGAACTAACATCCCTCTTTGTTGCTCGCAATTGATGGCTTTATATTTAAATTCTCTGCGCACCCTTGCACTAACAAAATCAGCTTGCTGGTGATCAAAATAGTTTATGCTTTTATTAACAGGATCCATCCAAGCATCATGGTTAGCAGAACTATAATGTTTGACGACTTATTCTTTCAAATCAACCTCCACCAGATGCCAGTGATCGTCCCTGACCATATGAATCAACAGATGATCTATGCGGACGACGATAAATTTTTTAATATATGACAAAAATAGCATGTTCCGACTCGTATCCATAGAGTGAGTGCTGCAAACCAAGTAATGTATGCGTTGAAATAAAAGAGAGAATCTAGGATTATGCATAAGAGTTGATAGAACTAACATGAAATACATTAGAAATAACAGGAACTCAACTAAAACTAATAGGTACTCCATTAGAACTAACCCGAATTTAATTAAAACTAACACCAACTCCATTAGAATTAACATGCACCCCAGATAGAAATAACATGCATTTCAGCTAGAACTAACACGTTAATTTAGACCTAACATGTACTTACAAGAAAGAACTGTAGACGTCAAAAATTACCTACGGGCTCTTGCACGCAGCTCGAGGCAGAGAGAAGACGATGAACCTCACTATCCGAGTCACAGAAGCTTAATTGACGTCGATAAGCGCATGAAGCAAGTCGACGAACGGTGTGAAGCAATGAAACTGCAGAATAACAAAGATACGAACTGAACGGGAGCTACGCTTCGCTTATGAAAAAAACGAAACGCCTCTCGTGTTCCATCAACTCCATGTATGGCTCAACCATGAGAGCTTGTAGATCTCCTTGTCGGCTTTCATACGCACTTTGAATAATACAATTCCGAGTTCGGACGACGAAGATACAGCAAAAACAATAGTTGGTCATAACCGAACTGACGAGCGAAACGACAAGGAAGATAGGGCTCTATGTGGCAACGACCCTTCACCCGAAGGACGAGGTATCCAACACGGATGTTCACCAACCAACGGAAACAACCAATATCAAGGAAAGTCTGACCGGCCCCTGATTTCTTCTCATCAATCAATACACCGTCATAACGACCCGAAAAATAAAGAAAATATTTGAAGAGTGAGCATGGTATCGAGATACATGCACGACCCCGGGAATGATCATTAGGAGGCCGTGAAGTGGATTCTACGGTATGTTCGAGGCACCGTGGATGTTGGGTTATTATTCCAGAAGGATGAGAAAAATGGGCAGGATTGTATTGGATATGTGGATTCAGATTATGCTGGAGATCTTGACAAGCGCCGGTCCACTTCAGGTTATGCTTTTATATTGGCAGGTGCACCTGTATGTTGGCGATGCACGCTTCAGTCCACAGTGGCTCTCTCTACTACGGAGGCAGAGTATATGGCAGTAACTGAAGCTATTAAGGAGGCTTTATGGTTGCGTGGATTATTGGAGGACTTGGGGATCGCTCAGGAGACTATTCGGGTATATTATGATAGCATGTCGGCTATCTATTTGGCGAAGAACCAAGTTTATCATGCACGCACGAAGCACATCGACGTCAGATTCCACTTTGTACGTGACGTGTTGGATGATGGAGACGTCATATTAGAGAAGGTTCACACGAATGACAACCCTGCAGATATGTTGACCAAAGTTGTTTCAGGAGTGAAATTTGGTCATTGTTTGAAACTTTTGAACATCCTTCAGTGCTGAGGCCTTTGGAGGCCATTTGGGTGAACTACGTTCGGCTTGATTCCTTGGGCAAGAGGATACGTAGGCAGTCTTTCAGATGCAGCCGGTTTGATCAGTTGATTCAGATGGGGGAGATCGCGTTTCAGCTCTAGTTTGGTTCCCTGACTTGTTGAGGATCTATTGGATGATTTGGTGTCGGCTCAGTTGTGGTGGAAACATTCGCCGAGGTGGAGAATTGAAGAAATACAGGAAACAGGAAAGAAATCAGCCAGGCAGACTGGCGGTCGACCGTCACAGTCGACCGCGAACGTGCACAAGTGCTATCGCCCGCCGCGGTCGACCGCGGATGACTGTAATTGATTTTTCTCTCGGGTTTGTGGTTCGGTCGACTGCCGCGATCGACCGTCGCCTGATTGGGCTGGGCCTTTTGGTTTTTGACCCGATTCGTTTTCTAAGTTATATATATCCCTAAACCTGATTTGTTAGGGTTAAGCAAGGACGAATTTGAGCAGTATTTGAGAAAGGATTGTTGCATCCAATTGTGGGAGAGTTGTGAGAGATCAAGAGCTTTGTTTTAGGGTTTGGTCGGTGAGATTTGTAACTCTACTTGTATTCTCTGATTTCTAATAGTAAGAACTCCCTTCCCCTTGCCCCGTGGACGTAGGCAACTTGCCGAACCACGTAAATTGTTTGTTCTTTGCTGTGGTTGTGTTTGCATATTAGTTGTGGTTTAGTTCGAGTTATTGTTCGTGTTGCCCTAGAAGCTTCCGCCGCGCACAACAGTCACTGGAAGAACGCGATGGAAGAAGAGACGCTGGAAGAACGCGATGGAAGAAGTGACCTGTAAGAACGCGATGGGAGGGTGAGAGGGTGATGGAGAAGAAATAAGGAGAAGAGATCGCTGGAAGAACGCGATGGAAGAAGAGACGCTTGAAGAAGGATCTAGGGTAAGATTACCCCCATCTTGTCCCCGCAAGCAATTTGGGGTAATTTTGAGGGTGGGGTCTGAAGGGTCATTATATAGTTGGGGTAATTTTAGGAAAAGTGGAGATTTGTCCCACAATTATCCCAACAAACCAATAACACTATAAAGTTGACTCAATACCCAATTATCCAAATAAATAACATCAAAAAGTGTTATTCCAAAAATTATCTCAATATCCCTAAATTTACATCAATGAATAACCCCCATAATATCAACATAAATCTTTTCTGATTTACAGCATTTAGGGCATTTGTACAAAACAGCCAAACGTTAACAGGTTTTGGAAAATTTTCCCATGCACGCGTTTCGACAAAACCGTCGGCCTCCTCTTCCCTTTTAGTAGGGAAGGCAATTTCTGCCCATACCCATTTACCCACCCGGCTCGCCTATCACTTAGCCCGCTCAAAACCCATCCATTTAATTAAATGGGTGTAATTGGGCGGGTTCATTTTAATCCACATTAAACGGGTACTAAATGGGCGGTGTATATTTGCCCATTTGCCAGCCCGCGTTCCCAAAAGAAAAACCTAGAACCCCGTCTTTCTCTTCCTCTTTCTCTCGAGCGGCTGAGTTCCTCATTGATCCCTCCTCCTCCGCCTCCTCCTCTGCCTCCGACGCCGCCTCCGCCCCGGCATCACCCTCTCCCTCATCATCTCCCTCTGCGATCGCGGAGTCAATCCCGAAGCCCTAGCCGCCCTCGTCCGCGAGCTCTCTTGGTCATCTTCAACTGCAATCTTGGTCATCAAAGGGTAAGCTAGAATCTTCTTTTCCCCTCCTTTTGATTTCTAGTTTAATTTTCATGAAATAAGACTTATCAATAGACAAGGAGACCAATCGTGCTACGGTTCAAAGACCAAGATTGCATCTTGGTGCATAATCTTCCCCTCCTTTTGATTTCTAGTTTAATTTTCCCCTCCTTAACAATTTGTCTAACATTGGCTGTAAATGGAGTAATGTATAATCTATGCTAACAATAACTAAGACTAAGAGTATTAATTATTGCGAGGAGTTATTAAATTATTAAATTACATGATAAAAGATGAAAAATTGCATCTTGGTGCATAATCTTCGTGATTTTGATGATTTTAGGATGAATAGGCTCTAGTTTATTTTTTAATTTTATGCTGGTTTTGTTGGTTTTGTTCATTTATATGAAGTTGTTCATCAAATTTAGCACACGAAGAAAAACTTGTTAAATCATCAAAGGGGTATCTTTCCTTCAAAGTTTTGAATTTTTTTAATATCATCATGGCTCGTCACAATTGCCACTATCAGTTTATGTTGTTGCTCATAGATGTCTGCAAAAACCATGTTAGTGTCTCATAGGTATGGTTCACTGTTATTTTGTGTTGACAAAGTTAGATTAGCCTGGATAATTAAACTTACATAAAAGGAACTTATTCAGTGGTATTGCAGGATATTCTAGTTATATGGTTAAAGTGTAGTGTAAGTGTGTGGACTATGACATTGTGCGGATAAGATAAATGAAGCGTTACTGCAGCCTTACCAGTTTGCAAGATATTTCAGTTTGTAGATATATAACATTTAAATTTGTTTGGTGATTAATTACAGACTTTACAGTTAACGCATAATTAAATTTAAGGAGATCAATGTCTTCATTTGTTTATTCTCCAACAATGGCTTATCTAATGGTTGATCCCCCCCCCTTCCCCTCCCCCCCCTCTTTCATTAGTTTGTCTAGTGGTTGGTTGCCAAACACCAAGATTAGCGCATACTTTATATATTTTATTACAGTATGTGCTTTGGTTTTTTCCTTTACATCTTACTTGGACAATATAAGAAGAGCAGTGCATTTGTTGGTATTAATCTTTCTAATGCATACTACTTTTATTTTATTTTTATGTTAGTGTTATATAGTTTTCTTTTCATGAAGTTCAGTTGATTTGTTTAAATTGTTCTTATTTTTTCTATACTAGAGTATTCTAATCAAGTTTGGCATAATTTGCACAAAATCAGATGACACATCTAAGTAACAATGATCTGTAAGACTAATCCCCCATACTTTTTTCTGTTAGGAAGATTACATTTATGACTAATAAGTTCGTGTTTTTGTATGACTGTTTTATGTACAAGAAAAGTCGTTAGGAAGATTACATTTATGACTAATAAGTTCGTGTTTTTGTATGACTGTTTTATGTACAAGAAAAGTCGTTAAGCTAAATTATATAGTTTGATTTATTTTCGTGTTTTTGTATGACTGTTTTATGTACAAGAAAAGTCGTTAAGCTAAATTATATAGTTTGATTTATTATGTGTCTTTTACATATTCTGTTAACTCTATCGAACTTGTATTTCGTTGGTGAGAAAACTCTGTTCAGATCAGTCTGGTTCTCATTTTAGTTCCGATGCTCGTTTAGACTTGTCACAGCGACATCTCTAGCTTGCTTATTTTATAAAGTTCCACGAAATGTCGCTTATGGTATGTGTTTCGATGCAAGTCAATTTTCTGAAATATCAGATGTGTTTTTTTAGCTTATCCTGTTTCTGAAAGGGTATCTAGAACCTGGCATGCGTTCGTTTTTCGTCAACAACCAGGAAAGCCTATAATTCTTTAGATTTCTTGTCAGCTTCGGTTTTATTTAACTTATGTATGTTTTTCCTCAATGAGGATTAGGTGGGGTTAACCTTTCTGGTGGCATTGAGACCTTCTAAGATCTTTACAGAGATATAAACATCAACACCTGGACAAGTTCAACAAAGCTTTTCCCATTTTCTGATGTTGACAATGCTCTTGAGCTTCCTTGTTTTGTTGGCCAATGTTTGAATAGGCTTCAGTGTTTCACTTTCTTTCTTCATCCTGATACTCGACCTTCGGTATCTTGAGGGAGCCAATACCACTTATATTTCTAGTTTCTGATAATGATGATGTGATTGGAGCAGGGCCGGATCTGAGATGTTAGGGGCCCTGTGCGAAAAGTAAACACGGGGCCTTTCTCTATATACAAAATATCAATAAATTCCAATTCGAATCCCTAAAATGCTAAGGAACAAAATGTTACTGATCAGACATTAAAATGTTACCTAATTTTTTGCATCTGTATAGTCTTTAACATACTTTTCAAGTGCTATTGTCCATTCTTCATCTCTTTGGTCACATACTTTTCAAGTGCTATTGTCCATTCTTCATCTCTTTGGTCACCTGAATATTACTGATAAGATAAATGCATGTAATCCCACATTAATAAAGCTTTCCAATAGAGCAAATAGTCCACAATAAAAAATACTTGCATATTATGTTTCTCTTGTATCTCTTGCTTACCTTCATAAGAGATATCGAAGCCTTTAGCATATAAAGTATCATCGAAAAATTGTCCTCCTTGCATTTTTAGCTGCAAAATCACTAATTAAGCCCTTAACATCAATTTTATCAATAAAATTATTTTCAATAGATATCAAAGCTAGTCCATTTAGTCTTTCTTGTGACATGGTCGATCTCAAATAAGATTTTAATAATTTTAATTTTGAAAAACTTCTTTCTGCAGATGCGACTGTAACAGGTATAGTCAATAATATTCTATAAGCAATACATGCATTTGGAAAACAATTTCGTATTTTTAAGAAATTCAGTATATCAATAGCCATCTTTGTTTCTTTTGGTAAAATATTTCGTAATATTTTTAGTTCTCCAAATAAATCTTTCCCATCAAGATCAGAAAATGTTTTATATTTTAGAACAATTTCAAGATTATCACAACATGCTTTCAAATTATTATCATCTAATGAGTTTAACTTTTCTGAACCAAACAAAAATCCAAAAATATCTTCATATGCTTTATATTGCTCAAACCTTTTCTTTAGTGAATCAATAGCTTGATCTACAATATACAAAAAATAATTGATTCTAAAAGATTCTTCGGCTGATTGTGTTGTCCCCTCATTAACATTCTCATCAAATTGTCTTTTTCTACGGATTTGACGTTTTACTTGAAATACATAATCAATTTCCATTTCTGTAGCAATTTCTTTAGCAATTGTCATAGCTTGTGTGAACCCAACTTCTCTATAATCCTCAAAAAACCTAATTTCTTTAGCAATTGTCATAGCTTGTGTGAACCCAACTTCTCTATAATCCTCAAAAAACCTAATCAATCCTTTTACTTGATCTATAGCAATATCAATAAGCATGTCTTTAGATTGTAAATATTTGCTAATTAAGTTAACAGTAAACAATATATCATACCAAATAATCATACTTAATAAAAATTCAAAATTTTTAATTCCATGTGTTGCTAAAGAATCTGCTTCACTTCTTATTTTGGAGTCATTATCAGTTTCTGCTAACTGAAGTAGTGCTTCTCTTATTTCAAGCGTTTGGAATCTAATTGCTTTAACGCTTTTAATATGGCTTTCCCAACGTGTAGTCGACAATGGTTTCACAGTTAAACCTTTTACATTATTTATCAAAATTTGCCATCGCTTTGTTGAGTGAGAAAATAATGTATAAATGCGTTGTATCACTCCAAAAAAATCTTTTGCTTTACCACAACAATTTGCCATGTCACAAAGTGTTAAATTAAGACTATGACAACCACAAGATGTGTATAATGCTCTAGGATTTATTTCAAGTACTTTTTTTTGTACACCTTGGTGTCTCTCTTTCATATTAGACCCATTATCATACCCTTGACCTCGTACATTATCAATATCAAGATTAAGAGTTTTTAGCACATTTTGTAATTCTTCAAAAAGCCCTTGTCCAGATGTATCATTTACTTTTAAAAATTCTATAAAAAATTCTTCTACTTTTATCGGGCTTGTAGAAATATCGACACATCGTAATATTAAAGTCATTTGTTCTTGGTGACTTACATCCGGAGTACAATCAAGTATTACTGAAAAATATTTAGCTTCTAAAGTCATTTGTTCTTGGTGACTTACATCCGGAGTACAATCAAGTATTACTGAAAAATATTTAGCTTTAATTTTTTGAACTATTGCACATTTGATTTTAGAAGCTAACATACTTAAATTTACACCAATGAATAACCCCCATAATATCTACATAAATCTTTTCTGATTTACAGCATTTAGGGCATTTGTACAAAACACCCAAACGTTAAGAGGTTTTGGAAAATTTTCCCCTGCACGCGTTTCGACAAAACCGTCGGCCTTCTCTCCCCTTTTAGCCGACCGAACCCTAGCTTTTATTTCTCTGGCTTAACAAATTTGCCCCCCGGCCTTCTCTCCCCTTTTAGCCGACCGAACCCTAGCTTTTATTTCTCTGGCTTAACAAATTTGCCCCCCAAAACCAAGCTTTCTCATTTATTTTCCATCGAAAAAATTTCCCTTCAGACTCAATCAATGGAGAAGCCTTCATACATGAGGTTCAAAGGCAGTCGCCATTTCAAACAGCGTCTCCTCCTCTCGACTCTCTCTCATCGATCGATCATCGTCGAAGAGATTCGATCAAACGAGACCCCGCCAGGGCTCAGGTCCTACGAAATCTCGCTGCTCCGCCTCATCGAGAAGATCTCCGATGACTGCAAGGTCGAAATCAATGAAACCGGTAAATGAAAGTTGTTTGCTTTTAGGGTTTTGGGTTTTGAAGTCGGTGTTTGAGTTTAGTGAAGTTAACTGCCTTTTCATATTATTTGTTGGGATTTAGGGACGAAGCTGAAGTACAAGCCTGGAGTTTTGATGGGAGGGAGGAATTTGGTGCATGATTGCGGTCTTGGTCGATCCATTGGTTACTTTCTGGAGCCTCTTGTAGTTCTTGGGCTAAGAGGGAAGAAACCCCTCTCTATTAGGCTTAAAGGTTTGATCTTTTCTCGTTTTCTTCATTTCGTTGATGAATTTTAGCATATGAGTTCTGTAGAGTTAGGATATACTATTTATTTATTTATTATGTAATGCATTTGCCTCCCTTTTTGGTCTTTGTTTGGGCTTATGATGTTTACTATTTCACAATCTCTTGCTGTATAAGTACGTGATTCATTCATTGTTCCATGGCATGGTAGTTTAGACGTTTTCTTCTTGATCACTTCCACCATTATAGTTTTACTAGTATTTTACCTATGCAAAGCACAGCAAGCAACTTATTTTTCGGATATCACAAAATATTACATTTCCAATTACCATAAATAAGAACAATCACTTGAATATTGTAGCCATTTATTTTCAACACACACACATTCACCCAATTACTGTACAGTCCAATTCTTTTATAAACACCTTACATATATTTAAACCTCTCAACTTCAAATTTATGAGGTACTTTCTTATGTTATACAACTTCAAGCTAAAGAAGTTACTTTTTATCTCACAAAATTGTTTTAGTATAAGCATTTATCTATTTATTTCATTATATTTAATGTTTTATTTATAGAAATAATTGACGGATATTCTGTTTATGGAAACAATTAAAACTAGCATATAAAGTTGTTTAACTTCCAATAAATAATGGAATAATAGTTTATGGTATCTGTTATGGATAGATATGTTTCTAGTCTCATATTCACATGAAGGAGTACACAATAGTGACACAGAAATTCAATTGTTTATGTCTCTTAAATAAAAAACAGAAGATGTTAAAACAGTTGCGTATATATTAATGTAAATGTACCAAATAACCTCTAAATTTATCTAAATACACAGAAATAAACAACAATTATCTTACACCCATCAATCCCATATTGAATTTCCTGATTTACTGCGAGTAAATAAGACATCATCTGTCATTACTTTATTGCCTTGACTTTTAGTCTGTTACTCAGAGGAGTAAAGTGTTAATATGTGCAAGATTTTTCTCACCTGTTTATCTTGTAAGATCTAAATATCAACATGCAGTGACATAGTTACTGTAATAATATTATAGACAATAAGGCTAACTAATCGATAGGGTGAGCACTTGCAGTTGCATTAGAAATATCATGTAAATTGGATTAAGTTACAGTTCATTGTACGGCTTGCATATATGTTTTGATTATTTGTGAACCTAATTGTCATATGCTTTTGTTATCACCTAAACTGAAAATAGATTTTTTTTGTAGTTTTTTGTATCTAAACGATAACATGTTTATGCTATTATCCAGAATTTGTTACTGTATGACCTTGTAATAGAGTCAACACTATCATCTTGATAAATGTCCTTGCAAAAAAAAATCCATTTTATATTGCTATGTAATAGTGTTTTATCAACCTAACAGGAACATAATACACAAAAAAAGAAGAAATTGGCTAAAAAATACTATTACTAAGCATTTTACCAAAAAAATCATCATCTACCCCCTAATATAGATCAGTTTTCAATAAACAAAGAAATTATGAAATTGAGATTGCAATGTGACAAGCTTGGATCATTAAGAGTGCTAAAATAATTACATCTTAACGCATGGAGTTTTTTTATTCTTTAAGTTTCTTTCTAGCGGGTGGTTGAAAATAGTACAAACTAGGATAAAAAGAATTCTCAAACACAAACATCGTAAAAATCAACAGGCTTTGCTACATACCATCCAACCCGACAAATTGCGTCTAGAGCATCTTCATGATTGATGATCATGAAGTCAATGACAACATAGTCTGGAGGCCGTTTGGTGCCCATACACTCATTACAAAAACAAAATAATTAAACAAAAACTAGTGAGATTGTAAGTGAATGATTAAAGTTAGAAAAGGTAATTTTTATATTAATTTTAGATAGACAAAATATAGAGAAGAGAAAAATTAATTAATAGTGAAAAAAGTTAAAAAAGTCAAGTAAAAATACAAAAAATGTTGAAAGTTCTATTGTGCTAATTGTTTTTTCTAGTAATTCTCACTAACAGATCTCTAATCATCTCAAGTTCACCTTAATTAAATGGAAACATTTCAAAGCAAATATGAATCAATATTGACACAACCTAACTATAAAAATGATTCAACATTTTCATGTAAACATTAAAACTCACATCATAAATGTATAGGAAGTTTCTAAAAGTTAAATTGCGTCAGAGCAATAAATAAATAGAGTGAACCTAATTGACAACAATTAAGGAAAGAACAGGCAACATTAGAATATGTATAATCCCAAATGATGTAATTACTTGAACAGCTCAATTGGAAAGTAGTATATCAAAACATAAGCATAAGATCCATAAGCAAAACATATGTTTGATTAAAGCATAATTTAAAGAAACACAACCTTAACTGTGTTTATACTCTACTCATCTTTCTTGGCTCCAACCTCTCCATTCTTGTTATGCCTCATTCTGTACCTCTGGTTCCTTAATAACTTAGGGTCCATCAGCTAAAAAATACAAAATAAAATAATCTTTTGCCAAAATGAAAAAAATTAAATATTAGATGCATTAGGTGCTCACCCCTTTGGTTGAGGTGTGCCTATGCCTCCTGGACTACTTGGTTTTTGTTCTTGTGAGGAAGGAATGGATCTACGAAAAGAATAATCAAAATCTATTGGAAGATTAAAGGATCGATCAAATCAGTTATGGAAATAAGTGAAACAACCCCAAAAAGTTCTAAATCATAAGCAAAATCAGACTTATCAATGTAAAAGTCCTCGAGAATTCAGTCATTGACATCTTCGTTAACCTGTCAAATATAAATTATATAAGCAATATGAAAGAAAAAAAGAAATTTCGAAATTCATTTAACATCAATGAACACCTTGGAAGGATAAATAGTTAAAAATTTAAAATGAATATGAAATAAGAAAAATACTTTTCTAAGTTTGACTCCCTTTACGTTAAAATGTCCAAAATTAAAGCATTATATAAATTACTCCTAAATCATAGAAAACTAGGCTAAGTGCTCCCTGGAGACATTATACAGATTAGGAATCATATATTATGAGAAAGCTTCCTACCCAGTAATCTTTCTAAAGTGCCTAAGGTACCTTCCTTACAGGTTCCTATTTACCAGAAACATAGAAAAAATTTGTAATATGAAAGGCACAGTCTTTATTAAACTATCTTTGAAAAATTACTATCTAAATATCTTTATGTGTTCTTATCTTCGCATTAGCTAATGAGGCAACATAGAAACTCAAATTCATATAAGGCCAACATTTATTTACCACAATAAAGATCAATTAGAATGACTGCACAGAAGAATGCTTATAAAGAGTTACATACACATATGAGCATCTTTATATGAGTTTATCTTAGAATTCAAAATGTTAACCTTAAAATTAGAGAGGGCAACATAATTAATGAAAGTTGCAATACACAGTATCACAGTATTAGGCAATATGATCCAACAAATTACATGAATTTTAACAAAAAAAAAATACTTGCAACTTCGTTACAACTTAGGATCAAGCAACTTTAAACTAGCAATTTCCTTCTACTTGATCACTTATTGTCATAAACAATACAAAATTAACACTTTGAACTTTCAGACTATCAAGTCACAATTCTTATTAATAACTACTAGCAAAAAAGAAAATCAAACAATGCATCTCTTAATTAAAACAATCAAAATCTTCCATGTATGCAATATTTAGCAATGAGATTATGGTGCCACTAAAGGTTGTCTCAGTCTTAAAGTGGGGGATTGAGTAATGAAGAGTCCATATGATTTAAACGTTATAAGAAAGTAACTTTTAATTTCAAGCAACAAAGGAGATCATAAATGAGATTATGAAGTAACTTATAATTCTCACCTGAATAATGTAATCAAGAAAGCACAAAAGATTTTAGCACCTCCTTTGTTTCTCAAAATTCCTCAATCTCAAAGGTTGAAGCAAAAGGAAGAAAAGTGAAGACGAAAACCCTAATTTAACAGAAATAAAAAGAAAAAAACTTTACTCCAAGATCAATAGCTGTAATTTCCTCTAAATTTGGTCAAAATAAACAAAATTGATAAAAATTGTTAGAGACCCTACAGATTGAAGGTGCAAGCCCAAGATCGCCCAAAGATCTTCATCTTCTTTGCGTAAAGAGAACTCAAGCTCGCAGTACGGTCCATGTCATTGTTGTCTTTCGACGAAGGGCAAAGGACAAAGGTCGGAAATGAAAGAAATCTTTTTAGATCTAAGGTCATTGAGTTTTTAGTTGAGGAAAGGAAAAGCTTAGTTTTTTTCCTCTTTCCTTTTATTTTTTGAGATTGAGAGATTGAATTCATTGCATCCTTTTTTAAAATTCAAATTGTAACATCCCCACCCAAATATACCATCTTAAAATTTCACAAAATTCTATTACATATTAAATGTGCACATATCAACTCCCAGAGTCTTAAAGTTGACAGTAGAGTCTATGTAGAATACCTTCATAGTGGATAATTGCAACGGCAACACTTAACTACTACATAGTCATAAGGTCTTGATTCTATAATTCACAAAATGCGTTGCAGAATCATTATTAACGCTTCATATCTAGAGATCAGTTGGTGCTATATGTTCTTTACTTTGGCTCGGGTAGTCGCCTGTGGATAAATGCTGCAACACAATGGGTGGTGAGCGAAAGGCTTAGTAGGCAACACAAAGAAAGTTAGGAATGCATCAATGGAAATTATCACACGCGCAAGAATATCAAAATATCAGAACTGAAAATCTCAAATATATCTATCAGTTGACAGTCACGCTCTATTTATAGGATTCTGAGTTGTTCTCAATTAGGGGACTATATCACACACATGCCTTCATTTATACACTCACCGGTGAAGCATTACTTCACTCAGGGCAATGGTCCACCAAAATAGAGCATGAAAGAAAAATGCATGACCGCAAATTTTGAAGAGATTTTATTAAATGATACTGCCAAACATATAAATCATCACTCAAAACACGAAAATGTCGAGCGACACAAATCAAGAAATATGAATATCAATCACTTGTATTTCAGACATGAACTTTCATGTAAACAAGTAAAGTAGCACTCGTAGCACAAAGGTTGCATACAAAAATTCCAAGAAATGACTCAAAACCTAGGAATTGTTACCTGCTGGTTATCTGAGTTGGATTCTCAAGTTCAACGTCCAAGTCTGGGATTGTTAACCTACACGTTCACATATATTAGATCACCACATACTATCAATTATAGTTAACTAGTTCATGCTAATGTGTCATTTTTGACTCTCTAGTTAGACAACTATGAGGTCTAGTCGATTTGTTATTGATGATTTGGTTACACAATTCTAACACCAAAATTTCCTTTTCTATAGTGTTCTGTCAAGTTCATATCAAGTTCATATATCTACTTATAAGGTAGAATCACTCTTAAGATTATTTCTTAATTTCTTAGGAAACCATGAATTTTTGTTTGTACCAAAACAGAGTAAGATTTTGGTGTATCAGTCACTTTATCTGACTGTCTGCAGCTCCAATTGACTTCAAAATTATTGAATCTTCATATCGATGCATGATCTATCCGTTATTTTCATGATGCTGCAAATGACATACTGATTTGATCTGTGATATAAAAGTTATGACTGTTTTCTTATAGACGCACAGAAATCTCTGTGTGCAGGAATTTAGTATACAGTCAATTTATATAGCTGTTTCAGGACCTCATACGAAATCATATGGCTATAAATTGTATACCAGAGTGTAGCTATTGAAGATACCTTTCAACAGAATCCTGAATCATTCTATTTGGACAATCGGATCAAAAGCTATGGACACTGAAAGTTCAGGTGGTCAACCCTGGAAACTGGACAGTTTACTGTTCAGTCACAAACATTCTAAATCAGTCCCAATGGAAAGTCACTGCAGTAAAATTATAACTCGTAATACATAGATATCAAAGAGATCTTTGACAAAAACTTGAATTATCTCAGTTGGATTATTGGATCAAAAGTTACGAAGTCTGGAATTCCAGGTGGTCATAAGTTACTAAGGAGCTGATTAGGAGAAGACGCGGCGAGTGTCCAAATGAGCTTTAGTGAGTGACAACACAATAGGATAGGTGTAATGCTTGGGCTAGTTTAAATATTTAACACTAATACCCAGGTAACCTCTAATTACCAATTATTGAAAAAAATATCAACCTTAACTAAAAGAATTCTACTATTAAATTATCCTCTAATACATGCTTATAGGTTTTAACTTTGTATCTGAGTTTTCTACTGGGTTCTTTCGTAACACCTCATGTTTTGTACTTACCTGAAAATAATATTTTGACTCCTTTATGATCGTCTTCAGTTATAAGTTCCCTGATTTTTTTTATCCAGCCATCCACAAAGGAACCGTGCCACTATATTATATTATATTTAATCAACTTTCAGCTTATATCAAACTTCGTGAATAATAAGTTGCTAGAAATTTTAGGGGTGTTACACAAATTTTGTAAACTAGACTTGAGTTGAGAGTTCACGTGGGTGAAAGGATTGAATGATGTGGTGTCAGTGTTTCATGAGAAGAGAAACTACTATTATATTGTTATTTTTTCAAACCTGATGGAAAGGAGCGGGTATAGGGCGCTGATGTGGAGGCTTCTTTGAGTTGATATGGACAAATTTGTCAGCCTAACAGCGGGACAGGGAGCTAATTACTGCTCATGCTACAGTACTTCATTTTCCTTTAGTATAAAAATAGTTGATGATGACTGATATCTTGGAATTTTTTGGGGTTTTTTTGCTGAGAAACCCAAACTTTTATTCTCATTTATCCCAAAGCCCACCTAGTTTTATTTGTTCCCATAAGCCCAAGATACAAAGTTTGCTTACGTAAAAATCCCAAGTATAGAATACAAGATTTTGTATTTTGTATATGTACAAAGAAATAAAGTTCCCCAAAGAGTCCTTTTATCTCTTTCTCTCCTCTTTAAAAGAACCCAGCCCCAAACCTCGGTGGAGACAATCAGTCGCCAGATCTCCTGTACATGTGATTCTACCAGAGCCTCTCCCTCTCCTTCTGCCCACGCCATCACTCACCGACCTTTGAACCTGTGACGACTCTTATGATCCCTGATCCTATTTCATCCTCCACTTTGAACCTATGGCAACGGCGCCAGGCGCAAATGGAGAGGGAGAGGATCTGGTGGTATCAGAGCTCTGGTGACTGATCAGTTCCACTACGGATTAAGGGTTGGGTTCTTTAAAGAGAAGAGGGAAGAGAGAAGGGGCTTTTGGGGGATTTTTATTTCTTTGTACAAACATGATTAAAAAAAACTTGTGTTCTACACTTTGGGTATTTAGGTAAGCAAACTTTGTATTTTGCATATATGGGATCAAATAGGACTAGGTGGGTTTTTAGATAGATCGTAGTAAAACTTTGGGTTTATAAGCAAAACCGCCGCCTTTTCCCCTTACAAGGTTTGGTTGGTTTCTTTATTTACTCTCTGTTTCCCTTATTTTTATGGTCATTAAATGGTTGAACATACTTGCATATGCAATGCTTAGTGCCTTGAAACAACTGGAAAATAATTATGCACATGGTTTACTCTTCATAATTCTGTTTATCTCAGTGTACTTCCAACATTTGTTTGGCACATGACTTCAGAAAATTAAAACATGATGCTCTACTTGCAGGAATTACAAATGATCCCAAAGATCCGAGTGTTGATACTTATCGTCATACAACATTCCATATTCTTGAGCGTTTCGGTGTTCCTAAAGAAGGATTGCAGTTGAAAATTGAAAGTAGGGGTTCTCCTCCTCTTGGGGGTGGAGAGATTCTTCTAGGAGTTCCTAGTCTACCTAGCTTCTCGGTATGTCACCCTATTCTATTGTATATGCCATATATATATTCTGTTTGTTCTCTTTTCCACATTAATTATGAAGCAACTCAAATGTCTTCTGCAGGCGATTACTTGGATAGATGAAGGAAGGGTTAAGAGAATTAGAGGGGTAACATTCACCACTAAGGTATCTGCCGATTTTGATCATCGTATGATGTATGCTACACGTGGGGTTTTTAATCGTCTCCTTCCGGATGTTCGGATAGAGAAGGACCATAGGTCTGAGCCAAATGCTGGAAGGTAAATATTTCTGCAGTGAGGGACCTATCAGTCACATTTTTCTTACACTTACGTGATGTAATGTCTGTAATTGATACTGATCCTATAGCTCATGCTATGCTATAAATGTGATGCATTTTAGTTCATCTTAGTCTTGGTTGCAATTCATTCTTTTTTTCTTCCTTTATTATTTTATCCTCTTGTTAGCACAATATGCCATCCTCCTTTATATACAACTTGGGAAGATGGTAGTACCATTATTTTATCCTCTTGTTAGCACAATATGCCATCCTCCTTTATATACAACTTGGGAAGATGGTAGTACCATTTTGGAAGTTTTAACTAAAAAGCACTTCCCATCCTCCTTTATATACAACTTGGGAAGATGGTAGTACCATTTTGGAAGTTTTAACTAAAAAGCACTTCAGATTTTATTGTGGTCGTAGGTAAGTCGCAAGACAGGAGCTAGATGAGTAGTGCTTAATGTGTTCTGGGAAACATTTTATCTAATAATTTGGAAAAGCTTCCTGCTTGTTTGTTATTTGAATCCTCAGATTCAAGAACCTACTCCAGTTGCTTGTATTAATACAACTCTTGCAGCAGAACTAATGTTGTTGCTGTAATCTTTGATTAACATGCAATTATATGGATAATTTTGGTCCTCCCTAGAAAACTCCATCCTATTAAGGATTAGAATCAATATGTATTCGTACTTTGGTTTTAACATTGATGTGTTGCAGATCTAAAGGTTATGGTCTGTCGTTGGTTGCTGAAACGGATTCAGGCTGTTTCATCTCAGCAGATGTGGCGATTTGTTATCCAAAAGTTGATGAAATGGAGACTTTTGATGATTCCGAGGAGAAACCACAGTTATTGCCTCCTGAGGACGTTGGAATTCAAGCTGCTTCTATTCTACTTGGGGAGATTGAGCAGGGAGGGGTAGTCGATTCAACACATCAGGTATTCATTAGTATAATGTAATTTTGGTTATTACTTGAAATGTGTTAGAAGAAGGGCAACTCTTTCATTACAATTCTGCAGGTTTTAGGCATGAGAGTACCATAGTTTTTGTTATAACTAAGCTAAAGGTATGAGAGTATTGATGGGTGGAATGCAGGAGGGTGTATCATCTTATTTAATTTGGATTGTTGGATACATCATTGAATATTTGGAATGCTAATATTTTGAGGGTGTATCATCTTATTTAATTTGGATTGTTGGATACATCATTGAATATTTGGAATGCTAATATTTTGGATACCAATATTTGGAACACTGACTAGAATATTTGTCAAAATCACTGTTTTGTGGAAGTAGCATTTTGATGAGGAGTCATTGGGAAGTTTAGATGTCAAAAACAAAAAACGCATTAGTAAAAAGTCGTAAAAGTTGATAGTGAGCTCCGTTCTTAAGAACCTGAAATTATTTAGTTATGGTTATGGTTTATGTTGGAGAGTTAGTAAGGAGAAACTTGCATCATGGGAAGCCTATTGCTGATTACAATATGGAATTCCTTTCTTGATATGGTTTGTTATGGTTTAGATTATAACTATTAGCTATAAGTGAATGATTAAATTTGTTAAGATAATAACTGAGTTAGTAAGGAGAAACTTGCATCATGGGAAGCCTATTGCTGATTACAATATGGAATTCCTTTCTTGATGAGTTAGTAAGGAGAAACTTGCATCATGGGAAGCCTATTGCTGATTACAATATGGAATTCCTTTCTTGATATGGTTTGTTATGGTTTAGATTATAACTATTAGCTATAAGTGAATGATTAAATTTGTTAAGATAACTGAGTTTCCTAGATTTCAAGTTTTTAATTTAACTAGCAAAACTAATTTAGTGCAATTTAAATGATTCGAGAGACCGCTAAATATGACTACTTCCAGAGACTAATGTCAAAATATGACTAGTACATAAATAGTGCTAATTTCTCTGACCAAGTTCAATATCAATGAAAACATGCATCTTTCAAACTTTCTTACTCTTTGGGGATATTGTGAGTGCAAAATGGATTTTGATGGCAGAATGTTTTACATGGTAAAAGATTTGTTTTTCATACGTGTGTGTATGGCTATATATTTACATTTACACTTTTTTTCCATCTGTCTAGATTCCCTTAAATGTGTGTTTTTTTTGTTATTAAAACATATTCTAGCAATATTTTTTTCCATCTGTCTAGATTCCCTTAAATGTGTGTTTTTTTTGTTATTAAAACATATTCTAGCAATATAAGTTTATACTAGGTCGACAGAGATGTGATGTTAACCAGTCGACGAAGAGATCAAGTCACAATATTCTACCAGTAAAGCAATAAGTTTATACTGTTCATAAACCATTGCCCTGATATCTTTTTCTTTGCATTTTTTTATATGAAAGTCAAAAAGAAAGCTAATATCTTCATATATGCTGGAACAGAACGTCTCCCATAAGGTCTGAAAAATTAGTTTGAGAAATTTTGAAATTAAAACTATCTTATAAGCTTGGATATGTTCAACCTGTTCCTGAGGAATATTGAAGTCCATGATTGAAACAGTGCAACATGGTCAAAGCTTCGTAACAGTGTTTTTACCCCATAGGCAGACTACTTTGTTGATGTTCATGGTATAATATAGCTTACCAAGCAGAGATGGTGCAAATCAGATTCGTCAACCATAACAGAAACATATACTATTCATATCAATCTAAAGGACTTTTTTACATTTTAGGCATTGTGATAGTTACTTTTTATACCTTTGTGTATAGTTCAAAACTTTGGAGGAATCTTAGAACTTTTGGCCCATTGGTGATCTTTAGAACACCTAAAATGCGCATTGGAGAAAGCATTTTGTTACTAGTAAGTGATATCACTTAACAGTTAGGGAGATAAAAGTGTAGTGTATTTTAAAACTATATGCCAAAAGAAAATGAATTATAGTCATGCATTAAGTATAGAAGTTCCAACCTAAATTCTCATTTTCTAAATTTGAAAGAATCGCCGAATAGTTACTAGCATCCTGATATTTCTACCAACTTGCATGCTTTGATTCATGTTTATGTTTTGTGAAATTAGTGTGAAATTTAGATGAAGCATCAAGCATGCATTTTGAATGTGATTCTTTTTACAGTTCTTTCGTTATGAATTTAAACGCACTTATTTAACTTATTTCAGAATTTAGCAGCTCGTTTAGTGAATTATTCAAGAAACGCATAAAAGGGTGACACTGTTTGTGATGATGAATAGTGAAAGTTATCTTGGTGATGCTAATTTGTGCACCCTATTGTTTGCAGGGATTGTTATTTCTTCTTTGTGCTTTATGCCCAGAGGATTTTTCCAAGGTTCGTGTGGGGAAGCTTACACCGTATGGTATTGAGACGTTGAGACATGTCAGAGATTTTCTTGGAGTAACCTTTATTTTCGAACCAGATCCCGTATGGTATTGAGACGTTGAGACATGTCAGAGATTTTCTTGGAGTAACCTTTATTTTCGAACCAGATCCAGCAACAAACACCATCATCCTCAAATGTTAGAGATTTTCTTGGAGTAACCTTTATTTTCGAACCAGATCCAGCAACAAACACCATCATCCTCAAATGTTGTGGAAGTGGGTTGCCCAATCTCTCTAGAAGAATTTCATAAGAGGTTATCAGTATAGCTTGACGCACATCAATCTTTGGTTGTCTTCTACTTCCAATCTTCCGTCTTCCCATGATTCTACCTGATATTTCTAAAAGTTTTGAGGTTTAACAATGAATTTATAACAATTAATTTCGACGCATTGTGCCTGTGGTTCACAAAGATGTGTGCACCCAAGGCTGAGCGTACTCACAGTTCAGAAATCCGTATGTAATTTCCAAGGCAAGTTAAAAAATTTGTGAGATGAGCGCGTCACTTTTTTTTAATGGATTTATTGAGGCGGCACATACTTATCATGAAAAGAAGAAATACCGCAGTTTATAGTATATGCCAACGTCCATTGGTATGTGGCTTTTTCTATGTTGTTATGTTGAAAGGCTGTAGTGATTTATGCTCTTTTGTTTTATCACTGTTTTAGTGTTTATGCAAATATACCATCCAGCGCCGTGTAGAAATGCTAAAGAGAGGAGTGAATGCCAAATTGTCTCTGCAGGCATGGATATGTGATTCATGGGCTGCTCATGAGGAGCGATGCGTACCATTTTATGTAATGTAGCACTTTTTAAGACGTGGGTTGAGACCAAAGGTTGTGATTATACAAATGAAAGATCAACCATGCGTGTATTTATAAGATATGGGATGAAAACGAAGATTGTGATGAGACAAATGAAAGATGAACCATGAATGTAGGAAGAGAGGGGTGCAAAAATACGTTCTATACACGGTCGAAGCGGAATAAGCGAAGCAGATGATACTAGAGATATAGCAATGAGTTGTACGCATGTAAATGATGTGGTAAAAGGTGTTGGAATATAAATAGAGGCATGGCTCCAATATTGAGTCCGTACAGCTCTTTGAGAGCTCAAACCACATCTGAATGTTGATCGTTACTAATTAATATCTGAGTAGAATCTGAACCGGCCGGGTCAGGATCTGGACGGAATTGGAGCGAGCTGAGCTTTTATCCCCAATATATAGTAGATTTTACTTCTCCATTTTTAATAGAAAATGATAGGGTTACGATTGAGATCACTAGAATTGCATTACATGCACCTATAATTTTCTTTGTTCAACCTTTTCGAGTCTATGTGAGGGTAAACTAGACAATAAGATTCAACCCAGGGGCGTATCTGCAACAGTAATGAAACTCCAGGGGTGCTAAGTTCAAAACCACAAACTACATTATGAAAGAACATAAATACTCAAATACGATTGAGATCACTAGAATTGCATTACATGCACCTATAATTTTCTTTGTTCAACCTTTTCGAGTCTATGTGAGGGTAAACTAGACAATAAGATTCAACCCAGGGGCGTATCTGCAACAGTAATGAAACTCCAGGGGTGCTAAGTTCAAAACCACAAACTACATTATGAAAGAACATAAATACTCAAATCCAGCATCTTTGAAAGATATGCTTCCACTGCAAGAATTGTTCATTAGCAGAAGCTATATTGCATGTGAATTAATATACTATACATTCCCCATCTCCCACATCAAAGAGATCAATATGAAGTACTCAGAAATTTTCCAAACTTAGACATGAAACAAAAAAGAATTACATCATCATACATCCACTTCGACAACTAGCATCAAGAGGAAACGAAGCACAAGAGCTCCAAATTTCAATACCAGGCAAGTCAAAACAGGCGATCACGTATCAATCACAAGCTTGCTACTAAACTTTATAATTAGTTTCACATATAAACTACGAATTCACAGAGAGGTTCATATCAACCAACTTTTCACACAAAAGCATAAATAAAAACTTAACCTCGTCTGTCGTTACTCTCTGTTTTTATTCTAATAATTTGCTATGTTATGTTATTTAAAGGATATTACATTTGGCGCCTTCGGCTTTCTTGCGGAACTCCTGACTCTCCTCCTGAGCCCTTCTCAGTTGCTCCCTTGGATTATTGATCTCTTGTTCTGAGCTCTTCCGCAGGATATTGATCTTTTCCTCTGATCTCTCCCTCAGGTTAGTTATCTCTTGCTCTGATCTCTGTCTCGCCTCTCTTGCAACTTTTTCTGCTTCAAGTCTTGCTGCTTGCTCTTCAGCCAACTGTTTCTCTAGTTTGTTGATAGCTTCATCTAGCTTCCTCTCAATCTGCAGAGATTGTCAAAAATTAAGAAACATCAGAATTCTAAATTATCCATTATAAAACTATTTATTTGCGTAAGGAGTGCTACTCTGTGATCTTTTAGTCATCGGGTTATAAGGTTGATTGTGGTTCACCTAGAAGCATTTACTTGTTGGTTCTGAATGTCTATGAGAAATTGCAGTTAATTCACGAAACCAAAAAAGGGAATTTTTTTTTACCTCAATTTAGAGAGCAATTTAGTTTTTTTCTTAACTTAAATTGAGGACAAGAAAGTAATGTATCATAACATGATTCCCACATGACACATGACATCTCAACCTAGCCTGAATATAATAGCATGCTGACTTTGGGTGCAAATGCTAATAAGACGTCAGTTTAGGCGGTTTAAGTGATAATAAGACAGTTTAGGGGGTGTAAGTGGCTACACCTGCGGGTGGAAACGAACCAAACAATTAACAAACAATTCCTTAATTGTTCTAGAAACTATTCATTTATATTCGACTTGATTGTTCATTGTAACTCTAAACAAATAAGTTTTAATATTTGAATTCATAACAAGTAGAATTTAACTAGATGTATATTTAATAACTCTAAACAAATAAGTTTTAATATTTGAATTCATAACAAGTAGAATTTAACTAGATGTATATTTAATTTATTTGCTTATCAAATATTCGTTAAAACTTTTATCATTTATAATTTTTATTATTACACACACGATGTTATATTTTCAACCCACTTGCACTTTCTACTTAAGTTCTATATACTAATCTTTAGAGACTTAAAGAATCTTCAATAAGTTTTCTATCAAAATATTCAAACACACACACACATCACAATTACAAAGAAATAATTTTCAATTATGAATTTAAATACTATTTGAACATCAAATAATTTAGCAAAATGAATAAACTTTGATATTTATATTCGTGAATGTTCATGAATATTTATCGGTATTACTCGAGTTCAATTTTGAAAACCTCTAGAAATGAATATTAAGACTAGCATTTGACTTCCAAAATTTTAAAAACAACTACAAATACAAATACAAACACTTTAGCGTATTCGTTTTTATCCCTGCCTACACCTTGTAGTATAGTGGGTGATACCGCAGTTAATTCTGAGAGAACTATTCTTTGAATTCATTTGATTGCTGCAGTCGAGACATGTGAATTCACAGGTTAACAAGGTTTGAATAGAGAAAATAAACTTTACAAGTTGACAAGGGTTGAATAGAGAAAATATACAATTTATTAATAAAGCACAACTATGTAGACAATGTGACAAAGGGAATGAATATAAAGGAGTACCGTCTCAACTACTTGTCTGAGCTGGTCTTCATGAGATTTGTGCAATTGCTCCTTCAACTCAGCTATATCTTGCTCTGAGTATCCTTGGATTCCTTTCATAGCATCAATCTCTTTCTCTTTATTCTCCAGGCTCTTAGCTCCGTTTTGTTAAAGGAGTAGAGTAAAAAATTAGCACTCATAACTCCCAACACAAGGGACTCAATAACCTTTAAATAGGATGATAATATGAAGACCTCATTTAAAGTTCAATTACCAAAAAGATAATCTTTTAAGAGGATTTTCAATATCAATCAATCCACCTTGACCTATTTTTAGTGAAATTCTAATTGAAATTTCCAAAATGCCTTTTGAAAACACGTTTCTCAAGCACGAGACATGTCTTCTTAACCAACTAAACCTAAACTTTGTGCTTGCACGTGTTTTTTTAAGGGTACTATCAGGATTGCAAGTAAAAATTCATAAGAAATTAGGTTAAGTTGGTTGATTGGTATGAGAAATCCTTTTAAAATTAATTAAGTATTAATTAAACTTTAAAAGGTGGTTTTCGTATATGTGATAAAACTCTACTTCTAAAACTAAAAGCAAGAAGTCAAGTGAATCATTACCTTAAGTTGTTCGAAAATGTCATCAGAAAATGGCTTCCCACCATTATCTGCTGCAATCAAATCCACTAGAGAAAGTAGTTGTTTCAGCTGGATTGCTCGTCTGTCCACGTCCTGCGTACTATTATTAAAATCCACTAGAGAAAGTAGTTGTTTCAGCTGGATTGCTCGTCTGTCCACGTCCTGCGTACTATTATTAAAGAGCATCACTCTGTTTTTACACAATTGGAGAATATTCTGCAAGATAAATGTAAATTAAAAAAATACTTTTAGTGAGTTCAGCAAAAAGTAGATGAACAGTAATCTAATGCTATCATGCATAGTTGAACTCATAAAGATGTTTAATTCCTAACGACACATGTCATTAATAGACAATTAATAGACAATGGACAAACCAAATTAGATATTGAAAAGGGCTTACAATCAAAGATGTAATTACAAAATTTCAAATCTTAATGTATAAGCAACAAAAAATAGAAATGTAATAAGTGTGACTTTTATATGAAGTGGTTCTTTTAATTTTACATTTAGGCTGTGTTTGGTTTGAGAGAAAGGGAGAGAAAAGAAAAAGAAAGAGAAAGTAAAAAGAAAGGAAAAGAAAAAGAAAAGAAAATGATATTCTTTTTATTGTTTGGTTAGAAAGAATATTGTAAGGAAAGTTAGAAGAAAATTCATAAGAAAGTCATTTTCTCTTGTTTAGTTACCTTTCTGAGAAAAGAGGAAAAAAATTATTCACAACATAATTTTAATTCATACTTTTTAGAATTAGATTCAGATTTTAAATAATTTACGAAAAATAATTAAATTAAATTATGATTCTATCATATTTTCAAAAAATTTACAAGTTATTATACATGTTTACACAATCTTAACTCAAGAAAAATTGGCAATTTCCTAACACAAAAACTTGAGTGGCCATCAACTTCGAGTTTGTAAATATTAACAAGCAAAAGCACAATCACAATTCCACTAATTAAAAAATAATATTTCTCACATAATATTTACAGAAAGAAATATCAATGAAAGAACCAAAACAAATCTAAAGTAAATGTCATGATATTCCTAATATAAACTATAATCCATTTCTAGTCACAAATTCTATTACAATCAATTTCATATAGAAAATCTTAACCAACAAAGTCTATTACAATCAATTTCATATAGAAGATCCTAACCAACAAAGTCTATTACAATCAAGACATCAATCTCACATCCTTGGATTTTGACTTTAGTGAGCCCATCAAGACAACAATCTCACATCCTTCATCCACTGAAATTAATTCAAATAAAAATTCAAATAAGTAGAATATAAACATCAAAAACCTATAAAATGAAGTCTTAACATTCTTTATGCAATAAGGCCACAAACTTTCGACATAACTAAACAAGTTGAGCATCCATCCATGGAATGGAATATGAAGAAGCATGACATCTTTATCAATAAGCATCACATAATAAAACATACAATAAGGATACAAACTTGCAACATAATTGAACAAGTTGGTCATCCATCACTATGAAGAGCTTCAAACGAGTCAGTCACCCAAGTCTGGTGATCTTTATCACTAATAAAAGTCACGGTGACGATACATGAATCATAATGAAAATCTACAAGTCCACTGAATAACAGAGATGTCATCAATAGGAAGGCTTTTATATTAGGCAAAGGAATGTTTCATTGCAAAATTACCTCCCTAGTACCGATACCAAGATTGTGTGATGCCCATCCAAGCTTAATCTCCAACCACCTTTTCCTCCGATGAATTGGTAACCCAATGAAGTTTCTTCCTCGAGCCGCATCCTCGGTAAGATAGTCGTAGGCTACAAGCTGTTCGTCCTCAAATATCTCTCCTTCTGTGTAAAAACGAGGACCGGTCTTCCAAATTGCAGAAGCAATTGACTCCATTCCACATGGTAAGGTTCACACATTTGTTCTACAATATCAAAGTTTTCCCTTGAGACCGTGGCAGTTGTCAGGTGTGTGCACAAACTGACCATGCAAGTCTTAAGAGGGATATATTATATATTCATCAAGACAATGCCCACAAAACCTAGCATGGCGGCAAGCTATAGCCCAGTGCATACCTTACATACAAATACAGTTTTCCGAAATACCAAGCAAAGGAACATGAATCAAAAAATTTCATGCACATATGCAACATGTCATCTATACCTCCTCCCATGTTCATTTTAAGTGGATATCATTTTATGTAGTAGAATAATTTCTTGATTATATATCAAAAGTGACTTGTAAAGATACCCCAACAATTACAATTACAAGTGTAAAATGTGAATAACATAAGTTCTCAGAGGATGAACTCTAGCATAAAGAAAAGGGGATAGAGCATGTGGAGATGTTCACCTGATATTGTCATTGTATTTTACTTCTCTTTGACTTTTAAAATATCTGGCAAAAGCAAGTGATCTATGGGCATTTTGGAGACCATAGATAAACTGACTGCTGAATATCCATGAATGTTCTGTATATCAGCTTAATTTGAAACTATAGGGATTTTGGAAGCTAATGTTAGGTGATGAGATCTGATGGGCATGCGATTAGGTGAGTGATCATAACTTGGCTCTTTTTTCTTTGTATTATTCTATATTATGTAGAATGTAAGATCACGTCTCATACCCGATGCTGATTTTGTCAGTTTCATGTCAGGAAAAGACCCTAGTGATTGAAGTTGGGTTTATCATGTCAAGCTCAGATTCCAAACTTATGTTCGTAGAGAAATAATCATACCTCATACGCGCATAGAACACACTCAAGTACTTGGTGCACACTCATTTTGGCATATCCTAAACTTGGAATGCAAATACAAGTGTGTCAACTAAATTTTTTCACCATAACAAGTGAAGTTAAGTCACAAGCTATAGCAAATTCAACTAAAAGTTTTCCCTTCTTTAATTTTACTAAATAACTACAGTAAACAATAACGAAATTTGGCCCTAATTTAATAGACAGTAGTGACATTAGATCTGATAACAGAGATGTATTATCTGCTAAGTATCATCTCAGAAAAATGCAAACAAACACACAGGACCAGAACCACTAATCTGCAGGACATTCGATTTAGGATACTACAGGGAAGTGCTCAAAAGAAGGGGCCTGTTTCAATCGGATGCAGCCCTGATAACTTCAAAACCAATAGGATACTACAGCCAAATATTTTCATAACCAACAATCATGAAAATATTAAACTAAACAATTAATGGAATATATTTTCATGCATCAACAGTATGAATAAAAATATGAGCAAAGATATTACCAACAAATTAAACTTCAAAAACCAACAAAAAAAATATGAGCAGAATTTACCTCGGATGAATTTGGATTCATGTTGACAGAGAGATCCAAGAGGAAACCTGCAGTTGAATCTGGAGCGGTTCCGAAAAGATCAAAGATATCACCAAAGACAACCTAATTGCGAGGATCGGAAATTACAATTAGCCTGTCTCCTGCAGTAAAATCAGAAACCAAGCAAGGCCCAAATGAAGGAATACTCACAAAACCATAACCCTTTGACCTCCCCGTGTTCTTATCAGAGATCACGACGGCCTCAAAAATATCTCCATACTGTTCAAAATGCCTCCTTAGAAGAGCGATCAAAAATAAATTACGAGCTCGAATCGAAGCTCACCTTCGGATCTTACCCCGTGTTACGCGATCGGCAATGAACGATCCATAGAAGAGCGAGGGTTCGGGATCTCAAGCTGACAAGAGCTCGATTGGAGAAACCCTAGTTTGGTCGGCGTCGAACTAGGGTTTGATCGAGAGAGAGAGAGGAGAACGATGAGGCGAAAGAGAATCGAGAGAAAGGGGGACGATCTCTGGAGGCGATCTTTCAGCGTCGGGCGACGAGCAAGGAGACGATCTCTGGAGGCGATGAGCAAGGCGACGAGAATCGAGAGATCGGGGTCAGCGTCGGGCGAAATTTCCGTCGCTCTCCCTCGTTTTCACTAGGCCAGCGGAGAGAAAGGGGGAATGAAAAAAATATAAACCCATTTTTCTACAGTGAAATTCATTTTCTTTTTCATTTTTGTTTTCTTTCAAACCAAACAACAGAATCCTACTTTCTCTCACACTTTACTTTCCTTTCTCTCCCTTTCTCTCAAACCAAACACAGCCTTAGTAAAATCATTATGAACTAGAAATTTCATCTAAATCAATATTTTTATCCCATTTTCCTCAAATTATAAGCAAATCATGGTGATGATAATAAAAAATTTGTTTAACTCAGATAAATGCTACTCGCATTTTCATGTTCTTTAAGACCAATCTACTTACAACCCCAATATTTAGGTACATAAATGAATCCATGCATTAATTTTGTAAACCAACAAAAACCTTCGAAATGTCAAAATAGTCAAATGGTCGGTAAGTAAACCTAAAGTTCATTATGACTTTGCGCTAAAAATATGTATACACTAAAAATCGCCACTCAAGAAATCAAATAAACAAATTTGTTAACTAAAAGTAAATAATTGCAAACCTTCACAGGCTCAGGACATCCACGGCTAATAAAATCCTTCAAAGTCTTCCCTTTAGCTTCAAGAACATCTCCACCCGTAAACACTACAATCATGTGGTCCACAATTCTGTCACCAAAAAATGATTTCATACTTTGAATTGCAGCCTCTTCGTCTCTAGTAAATCGACACGTAACAGAAAAAACCATAAGTAAAGCATGAATCCCTTCCTTGGTCAAGTTTATGCAGTTGACTATCTCTTTACCAGCGGACCCAGACCCAGGAGAGAAGTCAAATAGTCCTAAAATCAAATATATTTATAAGTTAACAAAGTATCAGAAAATATTTACCCAAAAAAATAAAATTAAATTATCAGAAAGATCGTAAATTGAAACAGTGAGATAATTCTGAAGTTGAAATCAATTAAAATCTTTACAATATTAAGATTAAAATGCCTAATACTATGAAAAATTCCTCAAATAGAAAGATAAGCCAACTTAAATTATCAAAAATAGTATTCATCTGTTGCTCAACAAATCTTCTTTTGTCATTTGAAGACCTTTTCTAATCCTATATGTTGTGCTGAGATTTGTTTTTGTATGCTTATACATTATATGTTCTACTTGAATCTTTTCTTCTATTTTAGCATGAATTATAATAAAATAACATAAGTGTACAAATGGAAATAATATATTGACAAAGTTTATAAAGTATAAGTGCATATTAGTTTACCTGGAGTGTCAATAACATTAATAATGTGCCCATCTTTTAAAATGGTACTTTGCAGCTCACAAGTACTTGTTATGCCCGACAGACTGAAATCTGATACGAATAGCTCCCTACCAAGAATACTGTTCCCAGTTGCACTTTTACCATTACCAGCTTTCCCAAGCAAAACAATGTTTGTCGAAGGAGTCAATTCCCAATCATCTAGCATGCCTCCACCCATCATTTAGTAAAAATCAACAGGCTGCAAAGGAAGAAAAAAAAAGAAAAAAGATTAGGTTCATTTATGTTGAATTGGCTTGCTCTCAGCTGTAACTTTCACTAAACGTCCACAAAAAAAGTTCATAAAAACTTTCTACTAACGTATAAAAAAGAACAATTGGAGCATATATAGATAACATAAACAATAACAAAGAAGTCCAAGTTAATTTTGGATCAAGATATGCATGTCCTCCATATTAACCATTGACCAAAATTAATTTGATCATTTTACAATATCTACTATTGAATTTGAATCTAACAACTAATTGACCTCAGTTTGTTTAATCCTCAGCAGAAAGATACTCATTCAAAAGCTTTCTATCAACTTATAAAGAGTGTATCTTCTGCAATGGCTAACTTTTATTCCTCTCGATTGAATGCGAATTACTTGCAACAACACCTTTATTGTGTAGAATTTGTTGAAATCAGAGTCAACTATTTCGGCTTTTAGATGATCATGTCAAAAAACTTTCATTCATATAAGCATACAAATTGTTTAATTAAATACATTAGGTAAGCTGTTATTTGATATATACATCAGATTAAGTAGTGATAACTAGAAAAAAGACGCCAAAACTCTTCATATAAATTTTCAATGGCTACAGCTAATCATATATATGCATGAGCCCTTAGAAAATATCTCAAGAAATGGAAAATATCATGTTCTACTAGAACAATTAATGGCAACTAAGATTAGTAATTAATCATATAAACCTTGATGAAATTCTGATCGTGCTCAAACATTCAAGCTGACTTAACATATACTTATTTGCTTCAAATTAGTCTTACCTAACACTAAGAATAGATGCACGGACAAAGAAACGAAATAACCAAACAACCTAGCACGATACAAAACCACAGAATAACTAAAGAAAAAATTATTTGAGACACACAAGATTGAGACACACAAGATGGAAGCTTCTCATGATAAAGGAAAGTGATGGTCATCTTTCTTTCAAGTACACCAAGAAAAAAATGCTCAGAAATCTTATGAACTGCATAGATGTACCAGATGATACATAATTTATATCAAATTTGTTGTGCGTTGGTCCAAGATTAGAATCCATAAATTCACTTTATATTAGTTTTCCTCAAGTGCTATACACGCCTAAGAAGAAAGATTATTCTATTAATATTTTATAATATTAAATGATTATGATTATTTAAGATTATATACTTTAAAATTTTTGGTTTTATTTCTAAGTTAGGAACATAGTGAGTTTAGGCTAAATTAATAATTAATCTTTATCAAAGTCTAAGTATAGCGTGATAGAGAATTTATGATAAAATTCATGGTTCACCAGTTTATAATTAAAAAAAAATCTAGGAAGTTAAAATTAAACTAATGCTTGATTACATTAATTATGATATTTTTATCTGAAAATTTATTAAGTTATGGTTCTTATGAATTATGATAAACTAATAGTAATTCAAATGCTTAGCCATAAAAAAACATGGTTGAATTAGAACGAATAGCGCATATTATTACAAAAATACCCTTACATTAATCTAATCTTTCTAATTTTTTTCCAGTAGTAACTAATCTAAATTCCACCTGGGGCGAAACTGAGAGATGCAATCCTTTTTAGCACCTTACTGATTATTGCTTTTACATATAGTGCATATAAATTTGGATAAGATTCAGTTACCAAGGCCACAATGTGAAAACAATCAAACTTAACAAGATGGAGTTTTTCAAGTTGTACCAAGGTATACTTCACAGATATGGCTCCAAGCCAAAATATAGACTATGACCAAAGACATGTTAGCCGTTTTTTAGTCAGTATAATCCAAGGTGAATCATCAAAATTAGAATGTACTTAACAAAAAGAGAAGTGTATTGAGAAACCACCTCAATAGTTCAAACTAAAATTATTCAACAATGTAACTTCTTCGTTTCTCTAAATAGTTAACAGCACCTTCAATATTCACCAATGGCTTAATCCCACCAATCTTTTGCCTTCTATCTTTAACCAAACACATTATTCAGCTCATTGCCAACATATTTAGCATCTTAGAGAGAACATATCATAATAATTATCATCATGCCATCAGGTGAAGGAAAAAAATATCTGTAAGTGTAATAGGTATTCACACAAATTAGAACTATGAAATAGTCATTAGACACCACTAATCTCTCCTAATCCAGCTTTTAAAAGTCCAAAATAACTTTTGTTAGTCAAATTAAGTTCAATTTTAACTTTTAAGGAAAAGCTAAATGAAGCGACATAAGAATTTTTTTTTCTAAAGTTCATTTTTTTTAGAAACTGAACTTAGTTTGTAACTATTTTCATTGCAAATTAGAAAAGCAAATAATAAGCCAAACTAATTAATCTTATATTGGTTAAAGGCAGGTAGGATTTTTAATACAATTCTTTGAGTTACAAATGATACACAAATTAACAAAAACTTGCTACTGATTGGTCTCTTAAAAACTTCCGAGTCCTGACTAATACATAACAATTTGATCACAGTCGACCTGCTGAAGTCTCAACAAGTCACAGCGAACCGTATCTTTTCAATTATAAAATAATAATAGACTGAGATTAAATGAAACAAAAATTCATGCCTTGACAACGGCTATTCTTTAAAAAGAAGAAAAAAAAAATTAATCTCGATCAAACCACATCACTCCCAGAGAAATCAGCACATATATCTTCACGTTTTGTTTCTATCAACCAAAAAAACAACCAAGCAAACACTACTAAATACACAGAAACATAAGCCCTAAAGACGAAACCAACCTTTAATTAGAATTAAGGTCGAAATTAAACGGGAAAATCGATTGCATGATGAAGGAGACGAAGGGTTTTTGATTACTTACTTGAGAGATGAGGAAGAGGAAATCGGGTAATTGGAGTATAAATAGAGGTAGGCGATGGGAATTTGGATTCGGGTGGAATTTGTTGAAAGCTCAAACCATAATCACAATCAAATTAGTTATCTGATTAGCATTTACTTTAGCATCCGCGTGGACTTTTTTGACGAGAACAATTTTTCAAACCAGCCCCATTTCATTTTTTAATTTTAAAAATCAACTCATTTTTTTTATTTACCAAAATCGACCTGTTTTTTGCCACGTCAGCCTAATCACTTTCCTAAATAGTCGGGATTGGCAAGCTCAACTATTTAGGAGGGTGTTAAGCCCTAATTAGAAGCCTTAAACCCTAAAATTTTATGTCCTAAATAGTCAGGTTTGACAACCCCGACTATTTAGGAAAGTGATTAGACTGACGTGACAAAAAACGGATCGGTTTTGATAAATAAAAAAAATGAGTCGATTTTAAAGATTAAAAAAAATTAAATGGGGCTGTTTTGAAAAATTGTTCTTTTTGACGACCGCTTACTGAAGAAGCCTGAACGGGTCCGGGTTCTGAATAAAGTGGGAATGGAACAAAACTTTTGCATCCAAAATATCAGGGGCCATTTGCATAATACACCTCGAGCTTTTCGTATTTGAAATATGTACTCCAGAAAGTCATGTTGGCCTTCTTGTTTTGATGATGTTTAACAAACAATTTACAACTAATGTTGTTTGTCTAGTGTTTGTGTTTTCGTATTTATTCTAGGCAAACAACGAGTTGGAGGATGGATGGATTGCGCCATAACGATCATATCAAATGGAGGTTGGCGGAATTGTGGAGTGAAGCATCGTACAATTCAAGTTCAAGATCAAGTTCAAGCTTCATCCGCACGTGTACCAAGTCAAGCTTAATTGAAGATCAAGATTGCTTGGGTAATGTAGTTTAGGATTTATATTATGTGTGTTAAGTACTCTAAGCTCAATTATCTATACACACACATTTTATTGGTTTCCTTGTATATATATGTAGTCATATATATATACAACACAAGTTTTAGTTTTCATGTTTATAAATATGAAATTACATGTTTTATATTTATTATTGTGATTTGGTTTATCTACTTAGATATGAAACAAATATATTTTCATATACATACTCATAAGTTTTATTTTCTATTGTATCTGTGAAAATATTGTATTCTTAGTTTGTAGACTTTAATATCAGTTTATATATGTTTTACTAAGTCTATAAAAACATTTTACAAAGTTTCAAAATGTTGTTTAAGTCAAAATATCAAAATATCAATTTTCAGGTTTTCATGTTTTTGAACATATTTGCAAAATGATGATATTTTTCATTTGGGAAGTCATTTTTCAAAACCAGTCGTTGTAGCATGTTTATTATCATGTCTACAATCATTCCCCAAAGTTTTACATTTTTTGGAATTTATTTGATATTTTTAAACAGGGTTTTAAAATCAGCTCTAAAACCGATTTTTTTCTGGGATATCAGTTTTCGGTCGACCGGTACGGTCGACCGGTCAATTGACCATTCGTCAGTACTTTTCCAGAGAATCTTCGGTCGACCGGTCCGGTCGACCGAGATCTCAAATCGGTCGACCGACAGAATTTCCGGTCGACCGACGATGGCTTTTACTGCTTCCAACGGCTAGTTTTTGTACCATTGGCTGGGTCTTTTGGTCTTTTGTTTTGGGTGTTTTTCGACCGACCATATGACCGTTGGACTTCTAACGGCTATTTCTGAGCTGGTTTTTTCTGGGGGCCTTTTGGTCATTTTGTTTGGGTTTTTGCTGAGATTTCGAGTGGGTATATATACCACATTGCTGATGTCTTTTCAAATTAGTCAAGAGAGTTTTAAAACAAGTTTAAGAAAGTTTTTAATCAAGGGTTTATTTGTTGTTTAAAAGAGTTTAAGAGTTGTTTGGGTTTTTGCTGAGATTTCGAGTGGGTATATATACCACATTGCTGATGTCTTTTCAAATTAGTCAAGAGAGTTTTAAAACAAGTTTAAGAAAGTTTTTAATCAAGGGTTTAAGTTTTGTTTAAAAGAGTTTAAGAGTTTGTTTGAGTTTAGTTTGTGAAGCAAATTTCACAAGAGCAAAGAGGAGATCATTCCTTGGTGTTTGGGCATTCAACTCATCTCTCTCTCACTCTTGATC